AAGCAAATGAAACTTTTTTAATCAAATGAAACCTTTTTCCAAGCAAATGAAACCTTTTTTCAAGCAAATGAAACCTTTTTGCAATCAAATGAAACCTTTTTTTAACCAAATGAAACCTTTTTTCAACAAAATGAAACCTTTTTCCAAGCAAATGAAACCTTTTTGCTAATAAAATGAAACCTTTTTTTCAACCAAATGAAACCTTTTTTCAAGGTGTGGAGTTCAATCCTTTTTAAAAAGATGGTTCCTACTCACAGTAAGTTGTATCGCAACAATCCGGCCGAGCCCTTTAGCTCATCATCAGGTTGAAGGGCGTTTTCGCGTTGGCGGGGGTATCAGCTGGTTCACTTTTGCAATTCATGTCGAGAGACGTGTTTGTAGAAACCCTTCAACCTGATGATTGAACAAAAAAAGTTTCATTTGACTGGAAAATGCTTTATCCAGAAAAAAGCTCTTGACGCCAAAACAGTAATAAATATGTCATGATCTCCTTTCATTTTGCAAAACGTCGTACCGTTGAGAGAGAATGGTGGTAAGGAAAATTACTGTTTTTTTTAGATAGATATTTTTACGGGGAAACGATTGATCATGAATTTGACCTGTAATGGAGTGAAGGGTTTAGGGGGAGGAAAGAGTGGTAAAGGGCAGTTTAGATCCCGTTGAATGTGTGTTGTCGTGTTTGGAGATTGCTTAGGTCTGTGTGAGGTCTAAAGAAGTCGGATGAAAAAAGGAAGGCTTTATCTTCGTCAGAAGCAGCTCAAGTCCTCACAACCAAGAGGAAAAGGAACGGTTTTGCAGGATAATTTGCTTTAAGTTACACTTCAGAACGGTCTATCCTAGCTGTATAGCTCTGGTCAGGAGCCACTTCAGAACGATCAGAAACGACCAAGCTACAGGTTCATATACCTGTAGATTTCAAGGTGTTCGGGTGGAATAAAAGCAGATTAGTGTGGAGTTGTCCCGGCTAGGTCCTTAAATTAGACGGCTGTCTTTTAGCCCAAAGTTAAGCCCTAAGTATTCTCGAGTCTGGAATGGTACTGTGTACAAGTGCTTCTTTTGCTTCGTTGCAGGTTGTATTTGTGTTCTTTCGTCCGTCGATACGTCTGCGTACCAAGATCTGCTCCAGCTAAGAAGGTTAGTTCATCTTCAAGGGTTTGGATTGGGTATAGGCTGACACAAGATTGACAGGAGGTGGTACAACTGCAGAAAGAGAAAGTAATTGCTGAAGATTTGAACCTTTAACCTTTAAACTAGTAAATGATAGTTGTAAATACAATGTTTATGATTATTATAGAAAAGTTGTTTTGAAGAAAAACCTATAAAAGTCAAGTATGTAATGACAAAGAATATATAGGTTTTTTTAGAGAGGTTTTTATTAGGTTAGAATAGAGAGAGGTTTTTTCACATTCAGAAATATTTAAAAAAATTCTGTCCTAACTTAATTTTTATTTTATTTTTAAACGAAAACAGTAAATATGTAAAAAAAGGCTTAATGTGCAGAATATAACGTAAATGTCTTCATTGACAGCTTGGAAGAAAAATGAAATAGATAAGTAAAATATTTGAATGGGAATTATTTTAAATATCTAAAAAAAGAAAGCCATGCTTAATTTTCATTGAAGTAAATGGAATCACGTCGGTTAAATCGCCTGCTTGATTTATCAACTTATAAAACCGACTTACCGAAAGCGTCTTTGATGTGCGGAGTGGCTCCTCCTGGGTGTATCGAACCTCTCGAAGTCCGTCGGTCCTTGTTGGCGGCCATGCCATCGTCGGCGTACGGTTCAGGGCTTTCCGTCCACGCTTCGTCGTTTGTGGGAAGGGTAGTCGACGTCGTCTCCACACTATCTCCACCGTACCACACCACCACTCGCCTGTCTGCCAACAAGAGCCACGCCTGTAGGTATTTCGTGTTTCGCGCTGGTTCGGATGGGACCGAGACGATTTCGCGAGGCGGCTAATTCAATTCTTATCCGGTTTCTACATTTGAACGGGCTTACAGCATTTCGAGCAAGCTTTGTGGTCACGAGACGCCAATTCGGTCTTTCCCTCAACGGTTAAACAGAAAAGCTACATGAAGATCCCGAATGATATTTGAATCCCGACAAAAATTATTTAATTACAAATTCCCAACATTCCTTCGATAAATTTGAACTCAAATTTAAAAAAAAAAATATAATTTTTCTTGAAAAACAAAAAAGAATATATGAACCTTGAAACAGGTATGTAGTCTCATCCATGATTCATTGAGAAGTTTGAGAGTATCCGTCTGGTTGATAATTAACGACTGATTTCGTTTGTATTTAATCAGCTCTCCCCCTTGACCTCTAAAACGACCTCAAACCTCATAAAAACATGGTATACAACATGGTTTGTAAAAAATTCAAAACAGTCGAGTTAAAATAGCCAAGGAATAACACTTATATATACCGTAACAATTAAAACCTAGCAGATTACCAAAGTTCATCTATTTTTACTGCTTTGTATAAGATTTTATGCATATTCAGTTCTATAAGATTAAAAAAAACATAACATCATGTAGAGACATAATTATATATGCAATCCCCGAGCATGATAATTCTGCGAGTCTTATGGACTTTTAACACAAAAATTACTTTACCTTATTATTTAATTACTTTCATCAAAATTATATAAAAATCCATTATATTTAGTGGTCTATTGACGAAATCACTACTTTCAATTAAGTAATCTTTTTTGTAAGGTTTTTGGTTCAAATGAAAAAGTCAGCGTCACGGGCGGGATTCGAACCCACGACCTCCGACTAAATACGCCGCTGCTCTAACCACTTGAGCTATCGTGATTTCGATCCTCTCGGACACCAACTCTCCATCTCAACCTACAACCGTTCAAATTTTCCCTCTTTTTATGTAATCATGATTCGATTCTCAGCGACTTATGAAGTGGCCACGGGGAGCTGTTAGTGAAGTGATACTTCGTTTTACTTATTAAATCATTATATTTAGTGGTCTGATTGACCAAATTACTTCTTTCAATTAATTATTCTTTTTATGTAAGGTTTTGGTTGAGATAAAAATGTCAGTGCCACGAGCGGGATTCGAACCCACAACCTTCGGCTAAATACTTCTACCGTTAATATCGACAACGTCCAAGTCAGAAAGAAAAACATCAATTTTCAATTATTCAATTTTCAATTAATCAGTCTTCATGTTACCTGTTGCAATAAACATCAACATTATTTTAACAAACATTATTTAATTACTTTCATCAAAATTATATAAAAATCCATTATATTTAGTGGTCTATTGACGAAATCACTACTTTCAATTAAGTAATCTTTTTTGTAAGGTTTTTGGTTCAAATGAAAAAGTCAGCGTCACGGGCGGGATTCGAACCCACGACCTCCGACTAAATACGCCGCTGCTCTAACCACTTGAGCTATCGTGACTTCGATCCTCTCGGACACCAACTTCCCATCTCAACCTACTTTCGAATTTTCCCTTTTTTTATACTTCGTTTAAATCCATTATATTTCATTTCAACCAATACCTTACATAAAGATTAATTAATTGGACCACGAAATATAATGGATTTAATAAGTAAAACGAAGAATTTCTTCTCTAAAGCCCTCCTTGGCCATTTCCATTTGTCGCCAAGAATCGAATCCTAATTACACGACATTTGAAAAATAGCAAAAAGTAGGGAAAATTCGAAAGGTGGGGTTGAGATGGGAAGTTGGTGTCCGAGTGGATCTAAGTCACGATTGATCAAGTGGTTAGAGCAGCGGCGTATTTAGCCGAACGTCGTGGGTTCGAATCCCGCTCGTGACACTAACTTTTTCATTTCAACCAATACCTTACATAAAGATTAATTATGTAAAACGATGTAAAAAAAGTGCACGTTTCAATTTCTATTTGGTTTATGTAACATCGTAGCGTTATTTAACATTAGGGTTCACCTGATCATCCTCTTCCAGTGAAGGTCTGTACAAACATCATGGATGATTATCAGGTAAGAGAATAAGCGTTTGATTAGAATATTAGCATTGATGATAGGCGATGGGTGAAAAATTCTGATGAGAATATTTAATAAATTTTGTATGTGAAGATTGCTGAGCATTGTTTAGGTGGATGATTTTGACTGAGACGTTGATATGGTACTAATGTTGTTTAAAGTTGTTTTGCATAGTGAGTCAAGTTGTTTTAGGCACTTGTGTCCTGGTGATAATTCTAATAGAGTGGTTTACATTCAAAACAGCATGATAAATTAGATGTAGATTGGGGTTCAAACAAGATTCTAATGTAATTTTGTTTATTCTGGCTTGTAAGGGGGTAGATCTGATTTTACGTAAGGTTTTATGTATTTGGAAAGGAGAAGACTCTTTTTAAATTCGAGAATTGTAGAAAGGAATGAGTCAAGGATATCCTTGAAAGAGAATTGTACAATATGATAATTGTTATTCGAGAGGGTTCTCGCAGGGTTCTTGAATTTCTTAAGCCTGGAAGACGCGAATAAGTCGACAACGACACATCCATTATTGCAGGGTGATGTGTTATCTGCAGTGCAAAATGTCAAAATGAATGGGTCTAGGTTCTCTCATGAGGAATACTTGCCCTAATATGAATACAAGTTCATAATCTTTTCTTTCATAATTACAGGATACGATTAAAGGAAAATACAATAAATGTGTGGGAAAAAGTTGGCCTTTTTCAGCTTATTGGAGGATGCAAATAAATGGATTACGGAATTTACCACGTAAACCTAAATTATTTTTGAGGTAAATATTTAAAATAAAAATGGTCCCGGGATGTTCCCATGAGAAACACTTGGCCTGGTATGGCTTTTCTTCTATGACAGTTTGTTGGATTCTTTCAGCTTATCGGAGGACACGGATGTTCCACTACGGAATTTACGAACTGTATTGTAGCATGACTTGATTTCTGCAGTGTAAATTGATAAAAGGAATGGGGTAACAATGCTTCCTTGAGAAACACTTGGCTTGATAAGGATATAAAATGATAATTTTTTTCATTTAATAGTTATAGAAAAACCTATTTATTAGGTACTTTTTAAAGGATAAGGTCAATAAATTTATAGGAGGATTCTCAGCTTATGTGAACTGAAATGATTTTTGCTATAAATATTTTAAAAAATTGGTCCCAGAATGCTCCCATAAGGAATTCTTTGACAGTTTGTTGCGTTTCTTCATCTTATGGGGGGCACGAATGAGTGGACTACGGAATTTACCAACGGCATTGTGGAGTGAAATGATTTCTGTAGTAGAGATGGAAAAAATGAAAGAGGCAAGGATGTTTCCACGAGGAACGCTTACCCTGAGATGATTTCTGCTCTCGGCCAGTTACATCAGAAGATGTGTAAAGAATAAAATAAGAAGGCTATAGGAGATTATGTTTGGTTTTTTCATCGTGTGGTAGGTCGCGAATGAGTCTAATATGGAATATATCAGCACTATTGTGGATTGAAATGATTTCTGCACTAAATATTGAAAAAATGAAAGAAGCAGGAATGCTCCTTTGAGAGACACTTGCCCTTATGTGAGACAATTCTGTTGTCTGGCAGTTACAGGAAAACCTGTCGGCAGGTAAGATATGTTAAGACAATAAATCTGTGGTGTTAGATATTGCTAGGTTTCTTCAGCTTATGGGAGGTTAGGATTGGGTTTATTAAGGTATTTACAACAAGTATTGTCGAGTTTAATAATTTTTGCAGTAAATTTTGTAAAAATGATTGGGCGAGGATGCTTTTTGGAAGATTCTTGCGCTGAGTTTATATATATATATATATATATATATGTGTTCTCGTTTTCAAGAACTTTCGATTTGCATTTTGACCTAGGTTGCCTATTTTATATCTGGGGCGTTTTCATACCGTTATGAAAAAATAAACCTTAATTGATAGAATAATAATGTAGCTATATGCAACGTCTGAGTTATAAGCAGGGAGAGGCAAAGGATTTTTTCCATTTTTACGAAGTGTCAGTAACTAACTCCATGTTCTCGTTCATAATTCTTTCCGCAAATCTTGACCTTTGTTTAGAAATTTCATGACAAGGCGGAAAACGTTTACTTTCTGTCCTCAAAAAAAAAAAAAAAAAAATCAAAATTTTTTAAACAAGCTCGGAATAAACAAACCTGTTATTTGTAAAATTTTGAAAAGTAGCAACGCTTTTATACTTATTTGCAACGCATATCAAGACAAACAACCAAGGTACAGTCTTCATATCACACCCATCCATCAAAGCATAGGAGAGAGAAAAGATCATCATCCTCGCAAAATCCTCTAGTTTATTTTGTTCAAAATTCGATCATTTTGGATTTTGGAGCTAACTATTTTCAGAGATAGACACACTCTTTCCATTTTCTTATGAATTGTGTCTCTGGTAAAGGAATTATGAGGATGTACCCTTGGCAAAATTCATCCAGACCAATAATCGAAATATGGCATGTTACGGTTTGAAAATTTTGACTGCTGCCGATAATCCACAATTGGCTTACGATATCGGGAAATTTAGCATAAGGACGACCTGAACTTGAGCCAGTTAATCAGGCTTAACTTGAAGAGTCAAGTCTTCAGCGTTGCGCAACGGTTCAACCAAAAAGCTTCTTTGGTTACATTCCATCAAATCTTTTTTCACTGATAGTGTCTATAAAGACCGAGAATCACAATTTTTCTTTGGTTGTTCTTATAGTGGCAAACATTTTAATCTATCTACGAACTACAGATTTAATAATCTTATTAGGTTTTTATAACAGCCTGTCATCAAGTCTGAGGTTTTGAAAAGCAGAATTGTTTGTGCGGTAGAGTTAAAAAGTTCGATGATCCAGCAAAGTCGAAATTAAGTTGTAGGATAATCTAAACAGTAGATAACGTTGAGTGAG